ACTCCTTTAACTGAATCGTCATAAGCTGCAATATTTTTTCAATGATAAATTTCTTTACTTTCTCATTTTTTAACACCGCTCTTGCAATTCACTGATGGAAGCCATGGACAAGCGCTCTTCCGAAAGACGCGTAGTCGTCTTTTAGTTATTTGCGAATTGACTTACTTGGATAGATGACCGTAAGAGGAACTTTTGTTTCTTTTGAAGACTCCTGGAGAGTCGTTTCCTGCAATTGATTCTTGTTATTCAAACGACTGATACGAGGGGTAGATGTGAAACCAGGACTAAACCCAGGAAACGCGTTCTGAACCAAGTACTGGGAACTTGATTGTACAAAAACTGGTACAAAACTTTGTGTAGGGGCGAAGCCAGCGAACGGGATGGGACTCAGACCAATTCCACGACCTGGATGATGCTTATTTCTGCACTGGTTTCTGCAACATGCAAATTAGTCGGCGTACCAGGCGAAGCTGTCGATGGAGCATCCCCAAAGTCCAGACATTTTTTGGCCTCCAATGTGTTAAAATGGTCTTTTGCTATCCTTTTGATGCAAAAAGGAAAATCACTGCCAAAATTTCGCTTGATTTCACCTCCAATTTCTTCTACATTCTGTACAGCATTCTTGTACCATACAATTCGACTGTAACACTGAGTGCGGCAAATCGCCAGCTGTTCATGGTCAACATAGACGGTGAGATTGACATTTAAAGCACGATGTATCAAAGACGATATGTCAAAACCCCTTTTACCAAACACATATTTTTTCTTTAGAGACCGAAAATGTTCCTTTACAGAGAAAACAAGATTCACCATCGTGGCAGATTTTTCTTAGGAGTTTCCCTCTGCATGTTTGACAATTTCACGTTCCACAGTTGCAAATCGCCCCAATACCCGGGACACGCATCCTGCGAATTCGCGTGAGAAAAATACGAACTATATCTATCGTGCATTCTGATTGGTCAACAAGCAAAAAAAAGTTCTTACATCACGGAAATTGTTTTGCTGCTCGGGTTCGCAGACGTTAATTTTCGGAGGGAGAGAAGCAACGACCGGAAATATGTCTGCACCTCGCAGGCTACATTAAAACAGGGCGGTACAGTAATATGTTTTTTTGTACCACCTAAAACCTGGTATGGTTGAGCTTTTGGCGCTCACAGTCCCAAAACGTTGCCAGCTTTGCTTTAAAGATTGAAGCGGATTTGTTGCTGTTTCAAATCTGAGCTGGTTTGTTGGACAATCTACACCATTTCCGTCCCGGCCTGTTCTCCTTGAGAGGAGTTTCCCCATTGTCCTTGTCCAAAAATCTTTCCACAGAATCTAATAACTCGGCCACAGTCAGGCCAAAGCCACGTTTGGCCCATTCTAGTAGCCAAGTTGCTGGTCCTTCTTCTTCTACCTTTGTGTGAAGGGGAGTGGGCCACATCTCACTCGTTTTGTCTGTGCACTGCACTTATCTTGCACAGTACTTCGGGGCACACCCCACTTGCTAGCGGCTTTCTGTATGCTGAATCCTTCTTTTGCATCCTTTATAGCATTTTCGATGTGCTTATCCCTCTCCAATATTATCTGGGTTGGCGTCTGCCATAACAAAACCTAAAAGGTGTATTCATTTTTGTTTAAGTCTGACGACTTATCTATTTTTTATTGCCTAGTATTGCAAAGTAGATATTGAGGTTGATTCCGGACAACATTTCAGAAGCATCTGCCACTTCATTAAATTTGCGTTCACCGCTTTTTATCCTAATCTACCCTTCCGAGTTTCATTTAATCATGATCTCTTAAGTGATCGCTTTCCTTCAGGCTGTGTCAAACATTTAACTACACTGACTGTGTCTGGCTAATGCCAAAAAATGAATTAGCTAATTTATAAACGAGATTAATAAGAAGAAGTTAAATTCAAGAATTTTTCTGTCTGAGACTGCTCTGCTAAGCCTGATCGGTAAAGAAGGAACAGACACCAGAGTCCATATTCGAGCTAATTACTGCGAACACATACAAAAGAACGCTGTCCTACGGGAACCCTAGAAATCATATAGTGTGTAACACAACAGTGACGTGACATCCCCCTTCCCTCTGAAGAAAAAAAAAAAATAACAAGTTGATATACAACAAAGCAAAAACAATGTCTCGGCGACTTTACAGCCAATATTGTTTATTGTATAGATTTAGCCAGGGCTAAAAGCAAAGCTTCCATTAATGAATTTATAATTTAAATCAAACAATAAACTTGTAATCCACAAATTTGTTAACTTAAGGGCACATCTGTGACTTTTTAGGGAAAGTTAAGGCGAAGTGATTTTAGAGTGAAAAAAAGTCTTACATCGAGTTGATAGCCGTATATATACACCTAAAAAATAGCAATCATCTTCGATCACATTTAAGAACCATATTATGGCTCTTGATCACAGTAGATTAGGCCTGGAAGACGAATTATTGGAAAACAAATCAGGCCGAATTTTTTGCTTTCCACAAGTTTACTTAACAAAATCTTGCAAACAAATGTGGGTGCGTCTAAACCAACATTTCATGCTTTTTATACATCACATCATTATCATACAGACCTCAGACAAAATGCAGTATTTCACAATTTTCCAAGACAAATTGCACTCATTCAATCATTTTTTTTTTCAGAACCATACGAAGCACATGTGGGCTTTTAACAAAACCGTTCCAAAAATTCCAAAATCACCTATACGGCCAGGAGGTTCTCACTTTTGACAAGCACCAAATTTTCAGTTAACATTAAAAGAGTAACTCTTCAACATAATAAAGAATTTATTGTTTATCTTTTATTGAATGGTTTTATAACGATGTGGAATCTTAGAAAGCATTTGATATGCGTGGCATTTTGAGTACTCCCGCAAGCGATGTTTGTGAGCGACTGAAAACAAACGGCAAAGCGATTAAAATTGCAAGAGACTCCTAACAATCAAGAAATGAAATGTTATTCGTTGAAACATTTACAGAGACAACAATTTCCATTCAAGAAGACAAGTATTAAAGCGTCTCTAAAAATCCTGTCTTTCTTTAAGCTTGCCTTAAAGCCTTTACCCGGCTTCCTGGTGTTTACTGTTTTCAAAGATGAACTTGAGGCAAGAAAAGCTTTCTTTCTACAGCCAAAATTATAACTAAATACTCTTTGGAACGTTTTTTCTTTCTATTTGCGGAGAGAAAATATCGACTAAAGGCTTTTTAATCAGATCAGATCATTGTCTCAGATCTTAATACAAACGTGCATGAACTAGCCTCATAAACTGCGCTCGACTTCATGAAATTAGATATAAAAAACAAACACATACACTGTATACAATAACTACTCACGCTTACCATTTGAGATGCAGCTCCTGTAAGCTATCAAGTAAGGCCAGAATCGCTTGAGGGACTTTTCAACCCGCATCCAGCACGGTGAAAAACGAAAACGATGTCATCCGAAATCGGATTTCCAACTTTGACAAGTGGCGCATTTCTCAACCAAAAATTTAATAAACAAACCAGCCATGAATAACAGAAGACTGTTGATAGTAACTGTATCTCATTTTATGCATCCAGTGGAAAAAGACAGTGAAAAACATCACAAGTTGACAAAAAAAAACTCTGTTAGCTTCAGCTGTCAAAGTAAACTGAAAAGTTTCAAGATGCTGTATAAATTTTCTGCATGAACTCACCTGTCAAATTTTGACCAATCAGAGCATAAAAATTGGACAGTCGTAGAGCATGATCAACGTGTGACTATGGTGAGAAAAATGAAAAGCCTCTGTCTTCCCTGCTTGTATTTTCAAATGACTGGCTGAATTGTTCTGTCTGAGATCAGTTTGAAATCAAAATGTTAATAGTGTGGGGCCATAGTGACATTAACACAACACTTTCTGTCATCATGTCATTATTTTGCTGCCGTTCTCTTTGCATTTGTATTTCTCTTTCACGCTGCCTTTGTCTATTCATTCTAGCTCTATCTCGTTCTACTTGCCAGCGTTCTTCACTATAATTTTCTCTCCTTCTCGCCCTGACTCTTTCTACTTGCCGGCTTTCTTCGATAAAATTTTGTCTTCTTCTTCTACTTTTAACACGCTCTCTTTGGCGATCGTCTTCGCTTGTTCTGCGCGTGTTGATTCTTGCTCTCTGCCGTTTACCTTCTCTTTGCTCTCTGCTTAAACCCTGTCGTCTACACGTTAAAATCTCTCTGCTGTTGTTTGTTGACACAATAGCTTTGATAAGTTGTGATAAAAACTTATAAAGGCTCTGTCGAAAATCTCTTTGCTAAGTTGCTTGAAGTTTCTTTTTCAAAACCAGTTGCGCGATATAATTGCGCGACGTTGCGCCATGCGATTTCCCGCCAAAAAAATCTCTACCTTCCCCTACCCCAAGAGTCAATGCGGTCTACTTTCCACTACCCGGAAAGTGCGTACGGACGGACGGACGTACGCTGACGTCATAATCAAAATTTCTCGGATGGATAGTTTACCAAATTATTTTAGTTCTGGTGCCCTCTCGCACACGCTTCGCGCGTGCAAGGAGCTCTGCTATCACATAAGAAATATGAAAACAAACCAACAGAAAAGACTATAATAGTTATGCTTTGTAGTAAAGGTTATAGTCCCCAAATTTTTTTGGCTTTCTGACCAGCTGTCCTGAAAGGGTGATTTGCTGCGTAGTTGGGGGTGATACGGCAGCCTCAGGAGAGACTGCACCTACTTCGGTCCCTTGTGGCCGTGGCATTGTGGGGGGCTGAGAGGGCTGGCACTCCGTTTGAGTGAAGGTGGCTGCTGGTCATTGGTCGAGCTCCTGCAGATTGAGGTCTCAAGAAATTGTTGGTGGGCCCAAAAAAGAAGGCTGTGTGATTGATAGTGCCGGAGGCTGCTGTAAATTATCCCGTGGAGGTGCCGCTGGCCGCAGTTGGGTGCGGTTGCAATGAAGGACGAGGTTTTCTGCGTCTAAGCTGTAAGAACATGGTGATAGATGGCCGATGATCTGACCATAGATCCCAGGAGTCCCCCACTGAGATGGGCGAGGTTTTGTGTAAGCATGGGAGCCTAGTGGCAGTGGTGGTAGATCCCTGTTCATGTGTTTGTTATACTGGGTCTTACAGGCTTCCTTGTGCGGGAGATCTCGGCGTACACTATCAATTGATCTGGAGGATCAGGCTTAAGTATATCTCTGTAGGTAGGCAGAGTAGATCGGGTACTTCTACCCATTAGCCTTTGAGCTGGGGAGAAAGAGTGCCCAAAAGGTAGTGTATTTGTAATGATGAGCAGTACCAGATGGATGTCATGGGATTTCTTCAGCATGGGCTTGGCATCTCTCTTTTTAGCTGCCTTGGCTTTACGGGTGGTGTGTTCAAAGCCATATATTTGCGCAAATTCCTTATATTTGTTTGAGGTGAACTGGGGACCATATGTCCGTGAGACAGTGCAGTGGTATGCCATAGCGAGCGAAATGAGATTTGGTAAGGTCTATGATGGTAGAGGACTGAGTGTTTGTCGGAGGGTCCGGCTCATAGAAGTCACTCTAGTGGTCTGTGGTGATTAAGTATGGTTGGTCGTGCAGCTCGAAGATGTCTTGTGAGACAAACTGTCAAGGTTGTGTTGGGGTAGCGTGAGAAAGCATGGGATTCAATGTGGCTTGTGTTCCATATTGGGCACAGCTAGCGCATGCCTGACAAACGGCCTCTATGTCTGTAGACATTTAGCCAAAAGACTGCGTCTCTGGCGAAACGGAGACTGTATTTGGCTCCTCTATGGGATTGGGGGAGTTTATGCAGCATGCTTGGTCGTAAAGAGGCGGGAATGATGGCACGGATAGACTTGAGAAGAAGACCATCTTCTAGACTAAGGTCTTCTCGAAAATGCCAGTATGCCTAGAGTTCTAGGAGGATTTGCTGTTTACTTTGTCGCCAACTGTAGACAATGTATTGCGTCAGCTGTTTGATGTCTTGGCGGGATGCAGTGGCTCTGTGAAGTTGTTCATGAGTGGATGCCGTAAGGGCTGGTGAGACTGGGTCCGGGTGAGCAAGATGTAGACGGAAGAAGAAGACTTGGAAGATGAAGACTTGGAAGGTATCAGGTACCATAGGAGCGGCAGCTAAGTCCTGGCAGGGGGCCCTTGACAGGGTATCCGCTAAATGTAATGAACCTTTACTGTACATCACAGTGAAGTTGTAGCGCTGTAGGAAAAGCGTCATCTTTTGCAGCTGTTTTGGTGCTGAAGCAAGGTCGTTTTGAAAGATTGATTGAAGGGGTTGATGGTCAGTGTATACAATGATGTTGGATTTTCCAAGGAGCCATTAAAAGCTTCAATGATCGCAAGGCATTCCTTCTTGATTTGAGCGTATCGCTGTTCTGTGGGGTTAAGGCTTTTGGAACTGTATGTGATAGGATGTAGTGAAGAATCGTCAAAGGTCCCATCCTGTGTTGCGTGCTTGGCTGTAGAATTGTGGCCCCGAAACCAGTCTGATGTGTCCACTTGGAGGACCATAGGGGCATTAACATTGTAGTATGCCAGGCAGGGTGCGGCTGTGCGCAGGATGAAATAATAGAATTAATTTGTTTTAAAGCTTAGCTAAGGATACCCAAAAGAAGAATGTAAACTATCTGTAATATATTTACTAAAGACATGAAATACACCTTTCAGAGACTTTAAGGTGAAAATTATAGGCTAACTTATGAACCATTTCATAACTGCTTTAATTTAAGAAGAAAGGTAACTGAAAGGTTCATTTCATAAACTTTAAGAACTGCTCCTAAAGCGTTCTAAAGTAACAGTTAATTAGTCTTTTGTGTCAAATTTAGCATAGGTTTAATTTTTCAAAAATGCTTGCTGGTATATCTTTGCTTTGCCTTTAATGCTACTTTAATGTCCTGTTTAAGACTCATGTCATCTTTAGTTTGCCTTTAATTCTATTTTAATGTTGTATAAAAACCCCAAATTAACTTTCATTTGCCTTTAATACTATTTAAATGTTTCAGAAAAGCCATATGTCATCTTTTATTTGCCTTTAATTCTATTGTAAAGTTTTATAAAAGCCCCAAGTCACCTTAAATGTTTTTAATTCTATTGTAATGTTTGATAAAGGCACCAAGTCATCTTTAATTTGCCTTTAATTCCATTTTAATTTTTCGTAATACCCTGCATTTGTCATCTTTAATGTGCCTTCAATTCGATCTATTTTCATGTTCAATGAAAGCCCCAGGAAAAGAAATAAGATAAAGGGATTAAAACTGGGGTATCTCAGCTTGTCGGGGAAACAATTATAACTTGAACACTGGAATCCATGACTGCATGGTTCCTCTTCAAGAAAAACATACAGTACAGTGTAAATACAGTGAAACAAAATCTACTTTGAAATCAGTTTATTGTCAATAATGTCTAATTCTTATATTCTGAAATTATTTACTGCCTACTCTTATGTGGAAACCATTTTGTGGTGAAAAAAAAAATAGACCAAGGACCACGAATTCAAAGAGTTAAAAATACATCTTTTTCAAATAGGTCTGATGATTATTGATTTTATGAAGTAAATTCACAACACTGTTCATTGCCAACTTATGAAGATAGTCCTGCGAATCACACAGATGAAGTGGTCAATGTATCAAGATCAGATGCTTGAGCATTAAGAGCCTATTCAGGAATTTCAGAAGGGTCACGTTCTGACGGCTCCTTTGGTACAATTCTAAGCACAATCCTGTCACGTGCCCTCTTAGACAGCCTCTTGTTATATTTTTATCCAGCCGCTTTTTTATTTGTCGTAGAGCTGTACCCTCCCAAGGGAGCTTTTTGATTTTGAAACTAGTTAGTGTCTGCTTGCCATCTTTGTCAGCTTCATAACAGCTATCCTCACTGCCCATTGTCTCCATCAGGAGGACCTTTGCTGCACTTCCTTTCTGATGGTTGTCGGCCCATTTCACCATTTCACGGGCAGCTGTCCTCCTTGCTAACTTCTTAAAGAAAGAAACAGAAATAAGAGTAGGTGGTGGGCCAGAACCCATTACAATACGATCCAACTGATTCCACGATTGGATACTTAACAAAAGAGTATAATTAGATAAACAATATCCAGAGTAATCTCTCTTATTATTTTGTATATCACAAAAATTAAATCTTACAATAAATTGTTTTTTGAATGAAAAGATATGGCCAGTAGATATGTTATTTACTACCTTTTCACAGATAACAAGCCACGTAAAGCAACTAAGTGTCCAAGGTCTACATCAGGTTACTCAAAGAAATCATGCAACTTGGAGATCTGCATGACATGATTAGTAGAGACCTTGACATGATCATTGCATAATCTGATTCCGAAAGCTTAATAGTTCCAGATTATTGCTTATTCCTTTTAAAAAATCAAAATATTAACGCGATTCAGAAAAGAGAAGATTTTTGTGAAAGTAGCCAAAAGTAAATGAAAGAAGCCAATTAAGATCGCATTCGCTTCTTAACACGTTTGACTAAAAAACCGTGTCTCAGAGTTTTGTCAAGTGGGTTTGTTCTTTTGTTATAAGCAGTTGAAGTTAGGGATAGCAAATCATTAGCACTACCTGTGAAAAAAATACTCTTACTCGAAAACGAAAAAAGAAATCGAAATTCGCAGACACAGTTTTTTAGAAAAACTATCTGACAGTAAGTTGGCCAGATTTCAGCCAAATTGCTTCACGGGTTGCCGACTTGGAGTTTAAAACGTACCCTCGACTTGCCCTGATTTTCATTTTGAGAAAAAGGGGGAAAAAGATTTTTGGTGGCGTATTACCCGTGACGAGATTATAACAGATTATAACACCAAAGCTGTCAATGTTTATGCATACCAGAAAAGGAAAACAATAGTGACACAGCAGGAAAAGGTTACAGACGAAGCCCGACAACAGATGAACAATTTATTTCAAAGGCTCTGCTCTGTTGATCCTTCTGTTGTCGAGAAAGCATCTTCAGTTATTTGTGATGGGCAGTTTTCATTTTGAGCCAAGCCAACTTTTACTCGATACATTTTCTAAAAGTTCAACACTTCCCTGGAAAAATCGACAACAAACCGCTTCCTGGACTTTTTCTTAAAGCTGCTCTCCTGCTACAATAGACTTTCAAAAAAGTCCTCCGTCCGATTTTTATATGGCGCGGGACCTGTCGCGAATTTGTCGCTTGCTTGGCCGCTTCGCGGCCTAAAAAGCTCGCTCCGCTCGCAAAGAAACTCGTGAAACTCGATTTCGTGGTAGTTTCAATAGGTTTTCCAGAAGCTTTGTCATCTTTTAGCCATTTTTCTTGATTGTAGTAGAGCCCTTGTCGCTCTCTGCCAATTTCAAAGCCCACACTTTGCAAAACGATTTTGTCGTCTTCTTTCGTGTTGGAGTCAAGGACGAAAACGGACGAGCTCTTTTTTCTTGTTTGGAGGCATTCACTTCCAAAATCCAGGGAAAAACAGTGAGCACTATACTTCAGTAGACCACGATTTCTGTCAAATTGCGTGATTAGCTTGGTTCAACAGCGGCATGCGTATCAAGTATGACAGGACTTGTCAATGATCAATTAAAATACTTAGCATAGAAAAAACATTTGCAATCCATAAGTCTGCACAGAAAAAACAGTTTTCCCTGGAATTTTTTTTTCAAACAAAGCTCTTGATGAGCTCTACTTGATCATCTAAAAATTTAAAATTTCGAAAAATGTTTTTTTACCCTGGATGATACCTTAACTGTGACAATAGACGGATCGAAACGCACCAATTACTGATTATGAGTCTTCATAGCCAGTAACATCACGACTTAACTGACAGACGACCAATAACATCGCAATGTAATTGACCAATCAGACCGATAACCAGAGTATAATACCATCAACTGATGTGATACAACTCACTTTGATTCTGAAGATGACTACCGCACAGGTTGTCGAAACATCAGTCACGGTTAACAACAACAGTCCTATTCAGGACTACGTTCACCCGGACGATCAAACTCAACCTACTTTTGAAATGACTCCTTGGTTCAAACCTTTAACAAACAAGCTTTTGTTACTGACTTGTTCAATTTACTTGCTAAAAGTTGTAATGGATTATGTCTTTGTTTAAAAGCTCTCACAATGTAAATACCTTGCTAATTGATTTTGACAAGAGAGTTGTAAACAATTTTTGAGTTAAAGGTGGGACTAATTATCATTGTACGATATTCCAACAAGAAACTTTTTAACAACAACTTTAGCACCGTATGCGAATTGAGAAACTGCACATTTTAGAGTAACGATATTGTACACATGTGATTTTTATTCATGTAAACATTCCTTGTAATTTTTGTATCTCTGACTGTTTTTTTTACTGGAAATTTGTTGGACAAAAGTGAATTTCGGAGTTTTAACTGATTTTCGTATTACGACAACTCCGAAGTAAAATATGCTGATAATTCTTATAGCCAATCAAATTTTTACTGAGTAAGACTATTTCAAGTTTGAGTAAGATTGGCAGCCCTCAGGTTCAGTCCGGATAAAAGGAGCTGCAACTAGCTCTTGTCAGAGAGAGATTACTAGCCTTGACTATGAGAAGTTGTGTAACA